TAGGCATTTTATATCCTGGGATCGGCGCACCACGAGGATGGTGTGCCCGAACCCAAATCGTCGTCGTTCGCTTTATTAAAAAATTAGGTTGCATCTTGGCATTAACTGACTGAAGATTTCCGCAGCTCAACATTAACGGATTTTTCTCCTTACTCTGTCATCCCTTCGATACGTTTTCTAGGCTTCTTCAATGGATTTTTCTGTCGATGATTATGTTCTTGTTGATTCTTCAATTGGATTGCGAGATACTTTTTCTTCTGATACACACGATAACATCGTTCATTCAATTGGTGACAATGATTTCGAAGTTGATCAAATGATTGATGTTGAATTGATCGGTAAGTAATAATGTTTCATGTTGTATGAATTTCGTTTATTTGTGCTTGCAGTATTGTCTAATATCTTTTATTCTCTGTTTTATACGATTGCTTGAGAATTTGGATTGTATGAGTATTCATATTTGCTGATTTTACATTCAGGAGAAGAAGAAGATACTATTTCAAAAGCTTCTAAATTGTTATATCTTCTCAGCAGAGGTACTTATTCTGTCATGTAACTTCAATGGTATTTAACTCATGTCTCAATTTTATGTCCCTCGTGTTACATGATATGTAACTTCAGTTCAATTTAATGTAACGTAGTTCCAATGTATGTAGTTGTTGTTTGTTTTTCATATATATATGCTTTGTAAATTGTCAGGTTCATTGGAAACTGATCATAAGTCAACTGAGAGTAAATCACTTATTGGGCTTAGTGTCAAGTGTGAACAGGATGCTTATAATCTTTACAACGATCATGCTTTTGAAAATGGATTTGGTATTCGTAGATACAAACAGAGGTTTAGGAGTGGCAATGTAAGTTTGATTATGAAGTCTTATTGTTGTTGGAAAGAAGGGAAGAAACAACAAAAGGGTACTGAAAACAAAATGTATACGAAGTTAGATTATCGTTCTGATTATAAAGCGAAGTTACAGTTTTCTATTAGTATTGATGGTGAATGGACTGTTTCAAAGCATATTATTGATCACAACCATGTTTTTTGTCCAATTGGTCAAAGACACCTGTTGAAATCGCATAGAGGCATTGATCGTGAGTATCTTGAGTTTATTATGTTGATGAAGGAGAGTGGGACAAAGGTTTCAGATGTTCACAGGATGCTTCAAAAATAGGCTGGTGGTGTTAGTGCTCTTGGATTCACGAAACGTGATGCTTATAACGTTCTAGAATCTGAAAGAAGTAAAATGTTTGATGGTACTGATTTGAACACTTTGATTGGTATATTGAAGAAAAGGGCTGAAGTGGAATCTGATTTTTTCTTTGATTTTGAGCTGGATGATAGTGTACTGAGTTGTTTTTTCTGGAGAGACGGTCAAATGAGATCCGATTATGAGAGGTTTGGAGATCTAGTTGTGCATGATACAACTTACAGGACTAACAAGTATGACATGATCTGTGGTCCGTTTATTGGTATGAATCAACACTGTAAAAACATAATGTTAGGTTGTGGCTTTATGCTGAACGAAAAGGTGGAGTCTTTTGTTTGGTTATTTCAGACTTTTGTGAAATCTATGGGTGGTAAACATCCCATCAGTTTCATGACAAACCAGTCATTTTCCATGGCAGCGGCTATCAAATCTGTGTTTCCTAGAGCAAGACATAGACTCTGCACTTGGCACATAGATGAAAATTCAAAGAAACACATCATGCATCTACGCAAGAAGTTAAATTTTGTTCCTCTGTTTGATTATGTTGTGAAGCGATGTGACACAGTTGCAGAGTTTAATTTCTTCTGGAATGAGTAAGTTATTTTTTTTTTGATGTAACTTCTTAATTATTTGATGTAACTTTTTCAATTATTTGGTGTAACATATATGGTTTTCATACGTAATCTTGTCTTCTTTTTAAATCTGTTTTAGATTGAATAGAGTTTATGAATGCAGTGACAACACATGGTTGAAGAGGTTGTACAGTCATAAAGAAAAGTGGTGTCCTGCCTTTTCAAATGATTACTTCTCTGGTGGTGTTCTATCCTCCCAAAGAAGTGAATCTACAAATAGATCCATATCTAGAAGACTTACAAAGACTACAACATTGTGTGCTTTTTTCAAAATGTTTTGTGATGTTGTTGATGAATGGATATTAGAGGGAAATGGTCATGATTTTAGATGTTCTGAAGGCACCGTGGAGATGGTATTGCTACAAGACAGTTTGTTGTCTCATGCTAGAGATGTGTATACCCTTGAGATTTTCAAACTGTTCCAAGAAAAATATTTGAAGGGTATGTCACATTTTTTAAATTAATCTCACAGAATTGTAATGATTATGAGTATCATGTTTGGTTGAATGGGGTAGATTTGATTAGACACAACGTTACTTTTAATCAAAATGACAACACAGTGACATGCACTTGCAAGATGTTTTCAGAAGTTGGCATTTTGTGTAGACACATTTTGCGTATATATATTGTCCATTGTGTCAAATGTATTCCCCAAGTTTATATACTGTCTAGATGGACAAAGACTGCCATTCTGCCAAATGTTAATTTTTCTCTTACGCAAGGAACCGATATTATGTTTGGGAAAATATCGGAAGATTCTATTTGGAGAGTGCAAATGACTAGGAAATTCAACACAGTATTGGGTGCAAGTGCTGGTTTTCCTGAAGCTAGGCGAGTATGTGAGCAAGGATACGAGTCTATTAAACATTTTTTAGATATTCAACGAAATGTTTCTGTTGTGGATGAATCTGCTTCAAGGAAAATATAGGATCCTCCACGCTCTCGTCCTAAAGGTCAACGAAATACACGAAAGAAAAATACTTTTGAAAAACAGTGTAAATAGTCAAAGCTCGCAGGTCCAAATCCCAAAACGTTGTCAGTAATTCTAAACTAGTTGCCCAATCCGTTGTACATGTAAATATGATTTTTCTTTTAAGTTTTTTATATTTAATCTACATTTTCTCATACTGGTGTTCTTCTCTTTTTTTAATCTCAGAATACTGTTAATTGCATGGTTCCATATGGCTATCTTGCTCATCCAGTTGGGGGAATGACTTCTTTGATGCCTTTTTTGGATCTCCACAAGTTTTCGCACCATACTTTGTGCAATCAAATGTTGTGAATCAACATCACATTTAGTTGATGTTGAAGTAGTTTCTGTATTTCATTTTGGTTAGATATTTTCCCAAGTTATTTTATGTTTAAGCCATGAGGCAATGTGATTGAACACTGTTGTGTTTGTTTCTATAAGTTACATCTTCTCTTCCACAGTTTATGATTATGACTTACACAGTTTACATTTGGTTTGTAATTACTTAGTGCAATTATGTAATAAAACTGCGAATTGAGTTACATTTGCTTTTGCCTCCAGATACATTAAATGTGTGCTTGCCTTCCATTATTTGAGCATTTTATTTACACTTTGTTTCAATAGCTAGGTTTTATTCTGCTATGTAACTCATGTTGATGGGAAAATTTAACTTAGGTGTATGCAAAATGTAACTCACGACCAAAAAGATGTAACTGACGCATAAATATGCGTAAATCTTTTATTAGATGATGTTACTTACTATACTATCAAATGTAAACAATGATAACAAGGATCCTAAGCTAAATACTCAATAACTTTACGTAAAAAGATGTAACTTCAGTACAAAAAAGATGTAATTTCATACATTACCCATGTAAATCCACAAATCATCCATTATCAGATGTTGCTGATCAGCTTACATCACATAATATGTTGTCATAATATACTTCAATGATTAACTAATAAGGACTAATAGACTTTACATAAAACCATCAATTGTTTTCATACCCATCACATATCCCCTCAAATAACAACCATGACCCATCCCCTCACATAAAACCATCAAATGTTTTCATACCCATCACCCATCCCCTCCCATAAAACCAACAAATGTTTACAAATTCCTCCACAATTACACCACTTGACATATTGATAATTTTTTTTTTGCATTTTCGATACCATTTTTCCTTTCAGAGTTGAACTTCGACAATAGGAATTCTGCTGCATACTGAAGTTTCAGCTTTTGCAAAATATCATTTTGAGCTTTGACTCCATCATCTGTAGCAGCACTGGGAAAACCAAAATCCCAATTGTCTCCCTGGCCTCGATATGTTTGCCGATGGCGCATCACAAATATGCCACAGTCGACATGGTTACCATTATATCGCCATGGCATATCGAGCACTCTTGGGTTCCACTTTGCCATCTTCCAGCATTGTGTCTGAGTTTTTTGCAATATGCAGTAAACCCTTCCACCTATTTCAAAAGATATATTAATAGACTAAAAAAACACATTACTGACATTACATAAACATCTATTTACCATTTGTTTAAAACTCTCTCCATATTTGTCTTCAAATTGGACTCCTTCTTCAAGGAATCATGTTGTCTATGACATCAACTACGTTTTTTGTCAAGTAGAAGCAGTACACATAGTAATGTTCATGTTTATTAATCGGAAACAAGATCTGCAATTCATAAAAAGCATTCGTGAATTTATTATTTGTTATTCAATGATTTTTTGTGAGTAATAGTGACATTTACCATATCAAAGTTTCTGATGTTCCCTCCTGCTTGCTTGATTTCTTCTTCAAACCTTTCTAACATTTTTTCTTTTGGCTCACTGTACCCCAGCAGGAACTGTGCCTGCATATTTACATTGATTCAAAAAGATGTTACTCACGCATCAATATGTGTAAATCTTTTATTAGATGATGCAACTTAATATACTATCAAATGTAAACAGTGATAATAAAGATCCTAAGCTAAATACTCAATAACTTTACGTAAAAAGATGTAACTTATTTTATTTTATGAAATTTCAAGAAAAATTATACATACATAGACCATGGTAGAAGAAATCAGTGCACGTTTTGGAGGATTGTTCTTGGGTTCTCTGTCATTCACCAGTTTGACCCAAGCATCTATTATTGAGTTGTCCACCATGTCTTCTTGCAGGGTCTGGAACTCCTCGTGGTAGACGAACATTCCTTCACCGTCTTGATAAAGCAACTCACTAACACGATAACACATATTATTATACATCAAATTCGAATCTCATGACTACTATTTACTTCTGATATAATGTGAGGCTACATTTTTGTACTATTGTAGTTACATTTTATTCACATGAATAAGAAAAGCATTTATTACTTTCCAACTTCCTTTGAGAAGCCATAGTCTATGACAATCTTTTCATCCTTGCTCGTCTCCATGCATAGTCTTCTGTTCCGCATCAGATACGGTGATTCGAAATTCCATTGCTTCTCAGTTGTTGTTTTTACCTTCAGCCTCTTTGTCAAAGGTTGATTATCTTGTTCATCTTCTTCAGCTTCCTGTGCTACATGTGCAACATCCTCTGCTACATGTCCACCAGCCTCTACCAGTACTTCTTCTTCATTCACATCTTTTTCAATCTCAACAGCCATCTCAGCATCTTTTTTTAGGTTGAGACATGCTAAACTCAATGCCAAGATCGAATGATGGCATTGAGAATTTCAGAAATGCTGCTTGTTCAAGTTTTTCTAGGGCTTCCATGACCCCAGGTTCATTGAAGAAATCGCCATCTTCCTCAAAAGTGCACATCTCTGTCAATCTTTCTTTCTCAACATCCTTTTCTTTTCCATTAGCTTGGTGAATGAAGTAGTCTGCTGTTGTGAGGTAAATCTTCTTCAGGATATCAGAGTTTGGGAACTTTTTTGAGATTGTTGATGGCAGCTTTGAGAATTCAATGAAAGCATCACTGAATTTATGTGCCACTGCTACAATCTCCTTCACACAATCCTATAATAATTAAAAATATATTAGATAAACAATCATTTCAGTTTACATTTTTAACTGGTAGAGCTTATATTTTTAATGAAACAAGTTACATTTTTTAGAGTTGTAGTTTACATTGTATTGGAATTGTAAGTGTATGGTGCACAATTCACACTATGTAAGGCTGCATTTCGAATCATACAAGTTATATTGTTTTACGCACACTGTTACATCATGTTTATTCTTCAATCACAAATAGCATTAAATGAAACCTTACCTCCTTTGTCAGCATTTCATCATCTTCTGTTTGTTCATCTTTTTCTTCTTCTCTCTCTTCAATATCTTCTTCTACTTCAACTGACATTATTCTTGGCATCACCTTGCCCAACTCAAAGCCTAACTTTCTCTCATCTTTAACTCTTTTTTCAATTCTCTTTGTCCCAGATTCTTAGAGTTGGGTAAACTGTTTGCAACACTTGTCCTTTGAATTGTACTTTGTCAAAGTAACAAATCATTAAGAATACCAATGGTCCAGTAAACATCCTTGATGGATGAGCCTACCATTCTTCACCAACATCCATCAGTGACCTTCTTGTGTACTTGCATCAGTTCAGGTTTTTAGTATCTTCAACTTTCACGAAAGACAACAATATTTTGAAATTGCTCCTGATACTTTGGTTGTCTCTGATCAGGCAAGACACTATAAAGACAACAAAATTTCTGATGAAACGATCTCCACACTCTTGATCCTCAACCATTTTCTGAATTATCTTTGTGGTTTGAGGACTTCCTTTATCAATTCTCCATTCATCTCCACTGCTTCAGCAAATCGTTGTATTCTTCAGTTTCATTCTTTTCATTGGCTTCTTGAACATCAATAGCCCCCATTGGAAATCCAAATACAGCTTTAACATCTTCATCTTCAATATCTAACAACTCACCGTTCGTGAGTTGTAGTTGTTCTGAAAAAGGTCTGAAATTTTCCAAGAGAAACTGAACAAAGTCTCAATAAAATCTTTCAAAGCCTAGATGTAGTAAGCCTCAAAAGCCAATCCTTCTCACAACTTCCTTTTTATTATCATCTAGCTGTTTAATCAACTTTAGGAAAGGAGGTGGTCCAACTCTTGTTCTGAGGTTGATTAAACTTGACCATTTGCTTCTTTCTTCCTCTTCATCTTCATCTGATTGTTCAGGTGCCTCTCTTTTCTTCTTTTGAGGGTTTTTCTTGTTCTGGTTATTTCTGCTCTGGTTATTTCTGGTTTATGATATTCCAGCAATAGGATTGGTTCTTGATTTTCTGTTTGAGCATTCTCATTTTGTGCAGCTTCAGCACTTCTCGTATTCCTAGTGTCATTCAAAATAATATTAAGAATTATAGTTGAGTGACATGTTATTCAACACGGTTTACATAAGTTACATACTATTATAAACAAGTTAGATAACTACTAACAAAAGTTACATTACTCACAAGTACTTAATCAATGTACACTGGACTTGGTTGCGGTTATACTAATGCACAAGAGTTACACACTAACATACACAAGTTACATAACTGCTAACAGAAGTTACATTACTCACAAGTATTTAATCATTGTACACTGGACTTGGTTTCAGTCATACTAATGCACAAGAGTTACACACTAACATACACAAGTTACATAACTGCTAACTGAAGTTACATTACTCACAAGTCTTTAATCATTGTACATTGGACTTGGTTTTAGTCATACTAATGACAAGAGTTACACACTGACATACACAAGTTACATAATTGCTAACAGAAGTTACATTACTCACAAGTATTTAATTAATCAATGTACACTCGACTTGGTTTCAGTCATACTAATGCACAAGAGTTACACACTAACATACACAAGTTACATAACTGCTAATAGAAGTTACATTACTCACAAGTATTTAATCATTGTACACTGGACTTAGTTTCAGTCATACTAATGCACAAGAGTTACACACTAACATACACAAGTTACATAACTGCTAACAGAAGTTACATTACTCACAAGTATTTAATCAATGTATACTGGACTTGGTTTCAGTCATACTAATGCACAAGAGTTACACACTATCATACAAAAGTTACACAACTGCTAACAGAAGTTACATTACTCACAAGTAGTTAATCAGTGTACACTGGACTTGGTTGCAGTCATGTTAATGCACAAGAGTTACGCACTATCGTTCACAAGTTACATAACTACTAACTGAATTTACATTACTCATAAGTAATATATTTTCCCATATATATTACTACTGATAACATATATACATATGACATATTGATAACAATTGATAACATAAATTTTACAAAAGCCACATGAATGTTTATAATATTGTCAGATTCCGCAGATGCAAAAAATGTAACTAAGATTACATTATTCATACATTATAAGTTACATGCATTTCGATATTTACAGAACAATAACATTTTTAACACCAAAATAAACATATTTTGATAATAAAAAATTAATCACATTGTTTAATCATCTATCTGGCGCTGTAGATCTGGTGATATAGTTGATACCTGGTAAATAATTTCCTGTTAACCCTAGCCATCTCGAATCAGGTTCTTAACTTCAGAAATTTGCTATGAATGGTGTTAATGCCTTACTTAGCTTCTGTTTTTGTTTCGCAGAGATATGGAACTTCGCAAGTCTGGTTCGCAGAGATGGTTTCGTGAATTTTTTTTAGAAGAGTTCCGAGAATGATATTGGAGAAGAATGAAGTCTTGGGGAATGGAGTATGGAATTCGTAAAGACAAAAAGTAAGTAGTGGCGTAGTGCAGCCGAGAATAAAGCCTGGAGGGAAAAGGTCGGAGAGAGAGAGGGAGTTGTCGTTGGCTAGTGTGCTTGCGCGTTTTTTTTAATGCAAATTGCGTCGTTTAGCCGCCGGAGTAGGATGCCCATGGTGGGCCGCTCCTATAGTATACGTACTGGTCTATATATAGATAGAGCCTTAATTATGATTCTAAATGATTAATTATGGTCGTTCACAAATGCCTTAATTAGATTCTTAAAATAAGTAAACCATATAAATACAATTAAGGTTATTGATGATACTTTTTAATGAATTCTCAGGATTTTATATACATATATAATATAAGATTCTTACCATTCATACATATATATATATATATGTATAAATAGTCGGACTCTTAAATATAATTAGATTCTTAAAATAAGTAAACTATATAAATACAATTAGGGTTATTAATGATACTTTTTAATCAAGTCTCGGGATTTTATATACATATATAATATAAGATTCTTACCCTTCATACATATATATGTATAAATAGTAGGACTCTTAAATATAACTCAAAATTATTGGTGCTGAAATTTAGAAAAGATACATGTTTCCTTATAAGGGTTATTAGTGATACTTGTAATTAAGTGTTTTGATTTTATATACATATGTATGTTATAAGATTTCTTACCATATACTGTTGGGAGTCTTAATTAATATAGAAACGAAACCCTTCTCTCCTTAATTATTACTATATACTGTTGGGAGTTATTATATGCTCTGAGTCTAAAATAGAAGGTCGGTTTTGCATGTATATTTAGAGAGTTGCATGTTTCCTCTTAGAAGTGCATATTTCCTTGTAGGTTTTTATTCTAGGTTTGATATGTGCTGAATATACTTACCATTTTCAAGTTTTTATTCTAAAAAAAAGGTTTCTATATGATAGAGATATCTTACCATTCTGATATATTCATTTAATAAACAAAACCCTTCTTTTATGAAAAAGAGATGAAGCATGTAAACGTAACTATCTCTGTCCCTGCAAAAAATAGCCAAATCCAAAACTGTGACCATACTAAGTTGGATATAAAGAAAACTGAACAGTACCTGAAAATGAATTAATGCAGATTGGATGATCTGAAGCTCTTCTAATAACCTATGGTGGAATAAAAGGATATACTTGTATATAGTTTTCTCCTGATGCCTTGCTGGTAAGAAGCTTAGAAGATTTAGCAAACCATTGACTTTAAGCTCATGCTTATATTTCAGTGAACCATAGATCCCTGCAAAAACATAAGGAGCTTAAACAATGCAATAAGACATTAATTTCTTAATCATGTGAGCTTATTAATATGAAACCAAACAAAACTTGAAAAGTGAGCCATTTTTTCTTTTATGCATAATATATAGTTTGATAAAATGAAACCATAACCGAAAAATCCGAGTATAAAAAGTCCAGCAACATTTGGGATAATATAGAGATAATAAAACCAACTTCAGTTTGCAAAAACATATAGAACTTAGTATGAGGATTCTATTAGTAATGGTTAAACCATATGAGCTTAAGCCATTTGTTCTTTTATGAATAATATATAGTTTGATAAATGAAACCATAACTGAAAAATCCAAGTAGAAAAAGTCCATCCACTTGTTTTTTTAAGCATAATGATATATATTGATCAATTGAAACCCAACATGGAAAATCCATAAATTTTCAGAATATCAAAATATAAAAAGTCCATCCATTTGTTATTTTTTGCATAATATATATATTGATAAAATGAAACCATACTCTGTTAAACCCATGATTGTGCATGAACTTCAAATGAGCAGGCTTTCACATTTAAAATCTTCTGATTGTCCTCTCAAATCACAAAGGCAATATTCATATGTTTTGTTGTCTAAAAATATCTAAACATATTTTTTGATTGTCCTCTAGATATATGGACAATTTCATATGTCCTAATTCTCTACCCCATATGCATTACCATATGTTTTGTTGTCTAAAAATATCTAAACAGATTCATAAAAGCATTTGTATGGACATCTATGGCAATATGGATATATGAAAGGACAAGAGTTGCTAACACAATGGATAGGAGTACATCATATAAATTAAGCATTGTACATTTTAATGTTACTTTCCCTTGATAAAAGGAGCTATTTTATGTTTCAGGCAACTATGTATAAGAAAACAAAATTAGGGTTATGCTCTGCCATACAAATTGAATAATTGATAACCGTACAAACAAAACCAGGTGATTATAATTGATAAATTGAATAAGAAACCTATTTATATACGATACAAATAGTTAAATTTTGTTTTGTAAGTTCAATTCCTCATTCCTAATCAGCAAAAAATCCGACTTATAACTTTAATTTCCTATTCAATTAAGTTTCTCCATTATCTTTCACATTGTTTTCAATTAAGGTATTCTAAACATTCTTACATCCATAGATTGTTTGGATTCAATTCAGCCATTGATAGGAAGCAATCACAAATTACTGGGATTATCCTTCATTGTTGCTTATCTCTCGCCTGATCTTTTGCAGTTTTTTCCCTTTTTGAATGCAGGCTTCAACTCCTGCGTGGTCTGAAGTTCCAAGACCTATTTTGGGCATCTATGGTGAGGAAATCGGGTCTGAATAATTGATAACCGTACAAATAGAACCAGGTGATTATAATTGATAAATTGAATAAGAAACCTATTTATATACCATACAAATAGTCGATTAAAATTGATAATGTGAAATCAAACCTGGTTTTGCTGGAGTCTTTGGGCATCCATGGACCATGGACAACACCATATGCATAACCTCAATTGTGGCTTGGATACTTTTGCCACAACTCAAAACCAAAGGTGCGATTTGTGTGGTTTGAACCTAATCGTGACTCATCTTGGTGGTCGTTTCCTTTGGTCCTCTTGTTGTTCCCCGGCTCGGATGCGAGCAATCGATAGATGTTTTCCAGTGGTGACTTGGATGGCGGGTGCTGGAATAAGGCAGACACGAACAGAATTGAGTGAACAGGGAGATGGGAACATCGATGGACGGAGGAAATGAGTGGAGGAAAGGTGAACGTGGGTTTTTTGTTTTGGGTGAAAAGGCGAAGGAAAGGTGGAGATTTTTGTGATCGAATGGCTGGGATGATTTCGGTGCCTAGGCGGGATTACTGTTCATTGAACAGTAAAAATAGTGTTCATTGAACAGTAAAAATAGTGTTCATTGAAAAGTAACTAATCGTATTGTTATTATGTATATATATATTTTACATTTCCAACACACCTCGGTTTTTTTGCCTAAATTCTTTTCTTTTTCATTATAGATTACTACCTCCGTCCCTTAAAACTTTGCCAAGTTTGACCGGAACGGGGATTAATAAAGTAAAAACTGTGTGGTCGAGGTTTGTGCAGAGGAGAGAGAATTAACTGGAACCACAAATTCTTTACTTAAAAGGGAAAGTGGCAAAGTTAGTGGGACATCCAAAAAAGGAAAGTTGGCAAAGTTTTAAGGGACAGATGAAGTACTATAATTACTTTTGTAAAACATACTGCGTACACGGCCGGCCCTAGGGGATGGGCAGCAGGGGCAACCGCCCTAGGCCCGAAAAGAATAGAAAGAATAGTAGGCCCAGTTTTTTTTCTTTATGTGCAGTGTGAGTAGGCTTCTGTTTTTTTTATAAAAATTCAATTAATTAATTAATTAGGCCTTATGTTTATTTTTTGTTGAAAATTTTAAAACATAAGTAAAAAGTCTTGATTTATCTGAGCAGCAGACAAGTTTTAAAAAAATACATTTAAATTTGAATTTTAAGTAGAGCTGATTGTAGGACAACATATTTGTTGTTGAATCAATAAAGGGAGATTTCCCAAAATAGGAGTAAATGGA